AGGAATCCCTGGGATTCTTCTAATAGGGCTGTAAAACATACATATAAATACCTCAATGGTGTTAAAAGATTTCCTGCCTGAATAAAGAAAATACACACCAGACCCTCATAGCTTATTAGTAAGAAACTGGAAAAATAGTTTTAAATTTTTATCTATTAGAAATTTTTAAGCCACTAGAGACAGCTCAGGCTTAAGACCTCTGGTTGCCCTTCAAGAGGACCTGGATTCAGTTCCCAGCAATGGGGTGGCTCACAATGGGTATGTAACTCCAGTTCCAGGGGAATCCAGTGCCCTCTTCTGACTTCCTTGGATACCAGGAAGGTAAGTTGTACACTTACAAACACACAGACAAGACATCCATATCCACAAAATAAAAATAAATTTTTAATGTTTTTAAATTAACCTATTAGAGTTCACCAAAATTTTAAACAGGTATGCTTTGCTTGTAGGGATGCCATTTTCTGATTACTAAAGTGAAAGTACAACTGCAACATGATAAATGATGTCTGTTATAGTAGTCTTTTTTAAATAATTTAAATCAACAGAATGTGGATATAAATGTTGAGTAATTAAACCCTCATGCTGAACTTGATGTTGATTAAAATCTTTGTGTTAGGGAAAAATATCAGTGATAAAAATAATGTTTAAAGCTGAGCGCTGGTGGTGCACACCTTTAATCCCAGGACTTGGAAGGCAGAGGCAGGCTGGTCTACAGAGCAAGTTCCAGGACAGCCTCCAAAACAATACAGAGAAATCCTGTCTCAAAAAAAAATATTGCTTAATAAGAAAGGATGCAGAAAGAATCTGAACAATATTCTCTTATGGGGAGGGTATGGTGACTAAATCTAGGATCTTATACATGCCAGAGAAGCACTCTACTACTGATAATCTGGTACTGGTTTAATTTGTTACTTATAGGCTATAGGTTATTTCAGAAATAATTCCCAAAAACAAAGTGATTTGCTTTACTGTAAATGGGTAGATGCTGCTGAATTAATGCTATGTAGCAACTCCCAAACCCAAATAAGTTACAACAATCAGCACTAATTTTCTGCTCATGAACCAGGTTGGCTCTAAAACACCTCTGTTTCAAGTTCGGATCTACTCTAAACACCTTTCATCCCAGGACCCACTCTGAAGAGTAGAAGTAGTTATCTGGGGCAATTCTTCTCACAGAAATAGTACTTCAAGAGTACTGGAAGAAATTAGCCCTACCTCTTAAACAGGCTACTGCTACTTCCATCTCTATCAGCCCAAGCACATCATATAACCAAGTCCAAAGTCAGGCAGGCAGCAGTTATTATCAAGTGAAAAGCTGGGGAATATTTACATAGTAATAATTCTATTTACAATAAGTTCTGTGGGAAATTTCCAGAACAAGTTCATTGTGTTCACCATGACCACGCAAACACAGCAAAGTGTTGATGAAGTAACTCATTGCTATCAAATTCTCACATGACAAAAAGCAAACAGTAACAGTAAATATGCCAATGACAGAATCAGGATACAAAAACTTCTCAATGTACTGACATATGGACTAAGCTTAATACAATAGAATCTCAAAGGAGTAAAAGTCCTGCTATAGGTTCAACATAAAATGAGGTGACTTAATAGCAAGATAGGCGAGAGTCACAGTGATTTGAGGTTAACCTCAGTAGTTGCTAATGTTATAAAAATGCCTGATAGTGTAACACTGTTTATATTGACAATAATAACATAGATGAATGCCTAGTTTACATGAAAAACACAGTAAAACTTGAAAGAAAAAAAGTAACATGAAGAATTTGAGGCAATCACACCCAAAAGAATACATTGGCTCCAATTTATGTGTCAATGTCTGAGGAATAATGACTAGAAACAGAATATATGAACCGTTTTAAACTACATTTCTAAGGAAAAAGATCTGAATAAATTACTGATTTGGGGGAAGACTAGGAACAGGGTGTAGATCAGTAGAAAGAAGAAACAAATATAAAAGTCTTCAAATTCCCTAAAATGCCTTCAGAGTTGCTGAAATAGTAAATGAATTGTTAGAAGTTAACACACATCTATTCAGCTGTGATAACTTTTCTGCAAAGGACTAGACAGTTAAGATTTTGACTTTACAGGTCAAAGGGTCTCTGGCAACTACCCACCATTTTTTTTTCCAAGGCAGGGTTTCTCTGAATTACTTTGGAGGCTGTCCTAGAACTCGATCTGTAGAACTGGCTGGCCTCGAACTCACAGAGATCCGCCTGCCTCTGCCTCCAAAGTGCTGGGATTAAAAGCATGTGCCACCAACGCCCGGCTACAACTACCCACCATTAAAAAAACATTTGATAACATGTAAGCAAATGGGTGTGGCTAGCATATAATAAAACTTTACTCACAAAAGCAGTTGTCATACCAGATGGCAATAGCTTGTCAAAATCTTTTCTATGTCAAAAAAAATAGAATGAATGCAGAGTTGAACCATATCACCTTCATACCATTCATTGCTCCAAAAATCCATAAAAGTAACTAAAGTGATTCATCAATACAAAAAATAGGTAGGAAAACGACACAATAAGGTGGATGGGTTAGACTATATACATACATACATATATATAAATTTTTATAAACAATATAATAGAAAGCTCTTGCTTAAAAAAAACAGAAATAGAAATGCAAGTACTAGTGCTCTCTATCAGGTGAACAGGACAGACACTAATCTTAATCACTGTCCTTAAACAAGCCTTTCCAATCTACATGAGAACACAAATGGAAATATCTTCAAATTGCCTTCTTAAAGCCCTTTTATATTTATTGGACATTACATCTTCATACACATACACAAATATGTGAGCGAGCAAGCAAAGCAAAAGAAACTTTGATTTGGTTTCATCCAAGATGAGAAATTTCCATTCTATATAACAAATAAATCAAAGCATTGCTTCCTTTTGCTACCACACACACAGGTTTTAGTTTTTCTCAAGACTGGGTTTCTCTGTATAGCTCTGGCTGCCTGAAACTCAGAGAGATTCTCCTGGATCTGCCTCCTGAGTGCTGGGATTAAAGGCATGTGCCACCACTGCCTGGTTCAACCTTGTACTTTTCTATAACAGATGAGCATAGAAATTGAGAGGCATGTAGAACTTTTTTTTGGGGGGGGGGTTCTCTGTGTAACAGCTCTGGCTGTCCTGGAACTCGATTTGCAAACCAGGCTGGCCTCAAACTCACTGAGATCCACCTGCCTCTGCCTCCCAAAGTCTGGGATTAAAGGCATATGGCACCACTGACCAGTGCATGTAGAAACTTTTATAGCAATCTAAAATTAGTTTATCAACTACATATTATCAAAATATAAATCTATCTAAAAGATGCCATCACTTTTTCATAATCTGTCACTATAATCATCTTAATTTTAATCAAATACGCAATTTATAATTTAATTTTTCAACTAAGGAAGCAATTGCATTTTAATCTCTAACTTATGCAAAGCAAAAACCTTATCTTGTCATCATTGGTAAGGAATGATACACGTTCTCTAACTGAGAGAACAAGAAAGAAACAGTGACAATGGAACTGTTTTTGAAGACATGAAAACCAAAAGGCCACACTACATTACATATACAGTATGATTGGTAGAGGGCTGCTATAACCACATTGTGCTATTTGCAGAGATGCCCTGACCATGAAACAAAAGTAGCATTTATGTAGAAAATGCTTAGAAGTTCAAAGCAAACAAACAAATTTAAGTTAAAAACTACTAAATTATCAAACCAGTAAAAGCAGATATTTGATGTTTCACATATAAATATTAGAGTTCCCATACAGAAGCTCTTTGGGATATTATTATTTATAAAACACACACACACAAGCGGAAAAATCCATTAACGTTGGTTATGTGAATATGTTGAGTGAATATGCAACCAAAAAATGAATTTCCAACATTATCAGTTTAAACTGCCTGGGAACTGATCAATAATACTGGAGACCAATCCACAGAACCAACAAATCTTATAAAGCTTTTAGAAAAACTTAAAACACAATGATAACATGACAATTCCTTTAGTACATGTGTGATTTGAACATGAGGTTATAAAAATCTTTTCAGCTTTACTGCCATCAAACATAACTCTAAACTGTATAAGAAAATGAGGGATTAGACAACTGACAACTGTGGTTTGGAGTTTAGGTTCTGTTCAGCAGTGTATACTGATAGTCTAGTTTTAAGGACAGGAACCAGAAGGATCGGGAGCTTGAGGACAGTCTAGGCAGTGAGAGCAGAGGTTGGGGAAGATGCTATGTATTATGTGTCTATTTAAAGGTTATTTCTAGCCGGGTGGAGGTGATGCATGCTTTTAATTCCAGCACTCAGGAGACAGAGGCAGGTGGATTTCTATGAATTTGAGGCTAACCTGGACTACAAATTAAGTCCCGGGACTGGCTCCATAGCTACTGGGAAACTGTGTTTCAAGAAACAAAACAAGACAAAAAAGGATTATTTCTAGCCTTACTTTACAAATTTGCAGAACATTTTCAATATTTTTCTCATCAAAAGAATATCCATATATATGAAATTTATAAATATGTGACCTACTTTTTAAAAGAGATAATTTATCTCCATGTTGAATAAAAAATTAACAAAGGGCTGGAGAAATGGCTCAGTGGTTAAGAACACTGGCTGCTTTTCTAGTGGACCTGGGTTCAATTCCCAGCACCCACATGACAGCTCACAACTGTCTGTAACTCCATTTCTTGAATGGCACCAGGCATGTACATGGTGCACATATATATGTATGCAGGCAAAAGACCCATACACATAAAATAAAACAAATTTTTACAAAGATTAGCACTAATTCCAAAAACAACTGCTTTATTTGGGGGAATAAAAAGTTTAACAATTAATTTCTTGAGCTTGCTTTATTTTGCCCTTTCCCTCCAGTACTGGGGATTGTAGCCAACATCTTGCACACACTAGGCAAGCATTTATTCTACTACTGAAGCTAAATTCATAGCCTTCCTAAAATCATGATTTTTAAAGGAAAGCAGTAATGAAATCCCCCACTACCACAAATTATTCAATTTCCTTCATGTGACAAAATAGAAGAGGCCCTCACACCTGAAGTGCAATGGACAAGCATTATTCTGGAAAAATCACCTTTTTGACCATGGTTATCGCTCCTGTCAAGTAAGTCCTTATCATGTCTTTTAAATCTATTCTTCAATTCTCAAAATGTACTTCGGTCTGCTATCACTACACTAAATGCTGCTAAAATAAAATACAGCAACAGTATACATTATAGATACACATCACCCCTTAAGGGTAGCACTGTTGTCAATCTAACCTAGATTAAAATTAGTACCAAGAACCATTTTACGTTACATTAAAATTGTTAAAGTTAGCCGGGCAGTGGTGGCGCACGCCTTTAACCCCAGCATTCGGGAGGCAGAGGCAGGCAGATCTCTGTGAATTCGAGGCCGGCTGGTCTGACAGCCTCCAAAACAATACAGAGAAACCCTGTCTCGTAAAACCAAAAAAAAAATTGTTAAAGTTATATAGAGTTTCACTTTAGTGTGTCATGTAGAAGCATTTCAAAACAGAAAGCTGCCATTTCATCCAGCTTTTCGTTTAATACTGTATAACAGCAACTAGAGCAGTGCTGTGACTCCCCATATTAATAGGTGTGCTGGTTAGTCCTAATTATCAACATGATGGGATTGACAGTTACCCAGAAGACAATCTCTGGATCTTTAACTTCTAGAGAAATTAAACTGAGGCAGGAAAACCAACCCTAAATGTGGGCAGCACCATCCTATCGAATGTGATCCTGGACTCAATAAAAGAAAGCTGAGCATCAGTGTTTATCTCTCTGTTGCCAATTGCAAACATGCTATGACAAGATGCCTTCCTATCATCCACCTTCCCTCAGAAACCAGGCGCCAAAATACAGTCTTTCTTCTTTAAGTTTGTTTTGTCAGGTATTTTGTTGCAGCAACAAGAAAAGTAATATAATATGCAAGAAGACAGTTTCAGTAACAACATTAAACATTCTGCCCAATTCTTTTCTTTTTTCCTACATCAATTTATTGAAACATAATTCATCTATAAAATTTTTAAATTTTAAGCTCATAGTTAGATCTTTTAATGCAATTAACTCAATAATTCACCTTACTAGGTTTTCTAAACTGCCTATTTACCAATTAGTGAGAGAGAATCCTTCAAAACAAACAGCCATAGTACACACAGGGTAGCAAATTATAGCCTCTGATTATTTTACTAAATCAAATTTGGAGCATATTATATGGCTACTTTCACTCTCCATTAAGATAGATGGTTAATTTGGAAGAGACTACATGATTTTCAGAGTATGAAATGTTTACTGTTTGGTCCTTTAGAGGCAGGGGAGGGCATTGGCCAAGCTCTACTATGGATGGCTAAACATAACCCACTGGGATGTCTTCTCATTTTTCCTTCCTCCAATTATTCATTAAAGTTAAGACAGAGGTAATTAAACACCTGATCTCACACTGAAGATTAGAAAAGTCAAACTTGGAGGCAGCCTTGTAGTTTTTCTACCTTATCTTGAGAACCCTGGGGAACCCCTTCCTCAGATTTTAGTTCCTCTGATCTTTTTGTGTGTTTGTTTCTCTGAAACAGGAATTCACTATGTAGCCTTGCTATATAGATCCAGGCTGGCCTCAAACTCATAGAATTCCACAATTAAAGGCATGTACCACTAAGGCCAGATATTCCTGAGATCTTAATTAAGACATGAACACAGAATTTTCCAAAGCTCTAAACACTGAAAACCCTGGAGTCCTCAAAGTGGCCAAGAGTTCAGGAACTGACTGGCATCTTCTTGTTTGGCCTCACATCTGTAGTGCCTTGTTTCAGACAGTGAAAGGCCTGAAATACATGCTTAGGGTGGTAAGTGGCAGAATTACATGCAGAAAACCTCCACCCCTGTCTCAACAACTGTGAATTCCAAAGCAACAACACCTGGAAGCAATTTCAGTTGCTTCTATAGTCTATAGTCTAGACCATGCCCTCGATACAGAAGTTTGAGGTTATTTGTTCTCCACTGTCATTTATTTCCACTTCTTCAACAAAAACACAGCTGCCACAAACATATAAACTGTATGCTCTTCACTACTTTGAGCACATTTTAAGGCCCTAGGTTCAGAACTCAGTATCATACGATAAAATACAGCAGTGAAGGCCCATAATCCCAGTACCTGGGAAACAAATAGGAGAATCAGTAGTTCAAGGTACATATGGCATTATGAGGCCAGCACTAGCTCTATATAAGGCCCTGTCTTTAAAAAACCAAACAAACATCAATGAAAACACCTTGAATGGTCTCTGTCTCTTGGTATACTAAAACCTCTATTTTTCTGATTCTAAAGAATCAAAATAAGGTTTGATAGAGACCAGAGAATGAACACTAAATTAGGAAGAATCAAAAGAATACACACAAAGAAGCTAAAAGGATGGTCCAGTGGTTAGGAGCACCTGCTATTTTTACAGAAGGCATAACATAGGTTTGGTTCCCAGCATCCATATGCTGGCTCACAACCACTGGAAACTCAAGTTTCAAGGGATCTGTCCTCTCTCCTAACCTTCATGGACACCAAATAAGCACATGTTGGCATGCATGCATATATACATACATATATACATACAGGCAGACAAAACATGCTTACACTTAAAGTGAAATTAAATGAATCTAAAAAAAATTCACACAAAAGGTATTCCAACTATAGAAATATATGTGTGTACAGCAAAAAAAAAAAAAAGCCCTGATGTGATTTTGTCTTCAGTTCATTCAGCACTTGTTTTTGTCTATTTATTTGAGATAGAATCTTAAACTTATAGTCCAGACTGACCTCAAATCTGTGGTACTCCTACTGCCTCAGCCTGTTAGGTGCCAGGATTACATATATGAACTGCCACACCTTCTTTATTCAATAGTTTTTATATACCTTACATTTATATTAAGAAGGAATAATCAGGGGCTGGAGAGATGGCTCAGAGGTTAAGAGCCCTGACTGCTCTTCCAGAGGCCCTGAGTTCAATTCCCAGAAACCACAGGATGGCTCACAACCATCTGTAGTGAGATCTAGTGCCCTCTTCTGGCATGCAGACAAACATGCAGACAGAATACTATATACATAAATCTTTTTAAAAAGTAAACTTAAAAAAAAAAAGAAGCAATAATCAGCTGGGTATAGTAAAATCTTAATTCTCTAGAAGCTAGTGATTATAGTGCCTTATGAAGCCAGCTTGGGCTACAGAGTAAGTTCAATGTGAACCTGGGCTACATAGCAAGACTGTCTCACAAATCATAAATAAAATAACCACTTAAAAAAGAGAGAAGAGTAATGAGGTCGGAAGATCTAGCCTGCTGAGGACATCAGATCATGTGGGCTACTTTAACTCTTCCTCCCCAATTCCAAGCATCTGAATAAAACTGCTCTACTCCACAAAAGAAAGAAAAGCACCAACAATTAAACAATACAGAAGATACTGTTGTACTGATACACTTCAGATTTTACTTGCTACTTATAACCTAATCTCAATATATTAAATTCATCAATGGCTATCTACTTCAATTATTTTAAAATAAAATTCTTTTGTGAAAACATATGTCCAGAGTAGGTCATTACCGTCCTTTATAAATGAAAAACCTAGAAAATGGAAGGATATCCTGCTATTCTTGGACCAGTCCCACACTGATTACCTCTTAAATAATTTCCTATAATTTTCAAAAAATTATTTTACAATATACATAGTTAATACAAATTCTTAAAAGTCAACAAGCATAAGCTGTATTTATTTTTAAATTTTCATCCTAGAACAACAGTGCTAGAATATTTTGAGCATTTATATCACAGAACATATATCAACAAGTACTTGGGTTCTGCCTTTCATAAACTGTAGCCTGTAAGAAGTGAAACACAGACCCTCCACATCGTGAATTTTGACCCTAGCTGAAGTTTTCCAAGTACTTTCAAAGCAAGCAATATTTGAGCTATCTAATGGTACAGAGGAATTTGCCAACAAAAAACAAAATTTAGAAATCTTAAGTACTAAAAACTATAAATATGAAGTGATAACTTTAAGTCACAAAATACTCAAGAAAGTTATTGAAATGATTATGAAACAGGTTTTTCATTTTATATTTTGTTTACCTATTTAGGTAATGAGATAGACCCCAGGACCTCACAAAGGCTAACTACTCTAAATACTGAGCTACATCCTTAGCTAAGTACCATTAATCCCTTTTTTTAAGAAACAATTTTTAATTTTTTAGCATATTGGTATTATAGGAGGCCAAAAGAGGATACCAGATCTCCTGTAACTAGAACTATAGACGGTTGTGAGCCACCAAGTGGATGCTGGGAATTGAACCAGGGTCTTCTGAAAGAAAACCCAGTGCTCTTAACCACTGAGCCATTTCTCCAGCCTCAACCACTTTTTATTTTTTATGTATTTATTTAATTTTTGGTCTTACGAGACAGGGTTTCTCTGTATTGTTTTGGAGGCTGTCGGTCCAGCCCAGCCTCGAACTCACAGAGATCCGCCTGCCTCTGCCTCCCGAGTGCTGGAATTAAAGGCATGCGCCACCACCGCCCGGGCCTCAACCCCTTTTGAAAACTTATTTTATATATACATGCATGTATAACATGGAGCATATGTGGAAATCAGAGTTCTCTCCTTCTACCATGTGGACCCCAAGGATCAAACAGGTTATTAGCTGAGCCATCTCTCCCATCTCACAGCAAAGCAGGAAGGGAGGGAGGGAGGGAGGGAGGGAGGGAGGGAGGGAGGGAAGGGGGGAAGGGAGGGAGGGGGGAAGGGGGGGAGGGAAGGGGGAAAGGGGGGAGGGAGGGAGGTGATAAATGAAAGACCCAGAGACAGATCAGATATTGGGGTTCAAGCTTCAAGCTGAAGATCAGCAAAGCAAAGCAGCCAAACCAGTAGACCTTATCTCTACCCAGCTGAAATGGCAATTCCTGTCTCCTCCTCCTCCTTTCTGTGCCCAGCCATGTCCTCCAGTCTTCACCTCCCTAATGCTGAGATTAAAGGTGTGTGATCCCAAGTGCTGAGATCACCTTTGTGTGAGCTGTTTCTTTCAGGACTGGATTAATTTCACGTAGTTAATGTGGCCTTGAACTAACAGATCAGTCTACCT